TTCGCTCCACAAAACAAAGACCAAAAAGTAGACGTCGCGCAAAAAACCGCGAAGTATACTTACTTTTCCAAAGACAACAAATGATGGCCGATGGACCACTATTTCACTTGAACTAATACCGCACTGATGAAAAATTCAACTTCACTGGAAGAAAATGATGAATACTTTCTGGCAGTGTTGTTTATAATCGGTGGGTGGAGCGCACTGCTCGTTGGTTGGTCTGTTTATCGGGCTTGACTGTTGTACTAAAAGCATTTCACCACCAATCGACATGGCATTCTGATGATGACGCGTGGATGAGCGTTTAAACTTCCACTTGTGATTAGATTGTTTACAAACATTATATGATTGCTGTAAATTGACCGACCGACCACGAGTTGAACTTTGTGTAACTGGTCAGTTTTGAATGTGAGTTGCGTCGTCATCTCATTGTAAAGTACGTGGTCGGTACTTTGTACGCCTTCAAGCTGAAAGTTTCTTTTGCGATCTAGCTGTGGTCTGGATTTGTTCGGCGCCATGGGTTGATTCGACAACGCTGTATTTCAATTGCTCTTCCTGCTCTGAGTCCTTTGGTGCACTGGTTATCTTCAGTTTACCTGATTTTTATAACTCGGTGACTATGTAGTTCTTTTGTACTTAACAAGTGATACACTGGCTGTAAGTTCACGGGTTGATATTAGTCTGAAATAGCATAAGTTGAAAAACTTTCGCTCTCATTTGCACTGCCGTGAGCGCGTGTTTGAAATTTATCCCGATTGAACTGACATCCGTTTTTGCCGCAACAAACCCAGCAGTTCAAAAATTGGACATTTTAGAGAGGACGTGCGCACACGCAGCTGCCAAAATGGAAGACCCCTCTTTTCATCATCTGTGCATAAGCCCGGTAGGTCTGGAGCTGGTTTCCCACGACCAGTACTACAGCAAGGGTACTGAGATTTGTTCAAATATGTGGATAGCAGGCGAAGGAAGGCGAAAAACCTAGGAAACAGATTTCAAGTGGTCTCGCACTGGAGCACTGTCTAGAACTGGCAAGAAAGAGGTCCAAGTTCAAACGTCACGTGGTTTTTGGTCGAGCAGGACGCAGAATGAAATAGAATCCCACGGAACCGTCCAGCCGAACATCCATTTGTAATTAAACGCCGCACGAGACTAATAACACGCAACACGATATATTCAACGTAAAAGCGTCAACCCGTTGCTAAGTTTCAGTGCACACCCCAAATGCGCGATGATTGTACCAGCTCGAATGGTAAAGACACGATTGGAAACGCTCTACCCAACCCAACATGCAGGCTAAAAATGACGGAACACTCTGTTGTTTGCAATCCGCGGTAATCAAGTTTCAACCCTTATTGAGGTTACCTCCACAAGATACCAATGCAATAAATAGAAGTGCGTTACAGACATCCTATGAATACTACTAAAATATCGTGTTCCTCAAACTTCCATGTGTCCCGTGTTACTGCTTGTGATGATTATGATGGATAAGTCAATTAAGGATGGAAATTTTAAAGAGTAATAATAGTTAACCGGCAACAACACAACCGGCAGTTCGATGGTCAAACGAGGGCTGCTTGTTATGAAAAGTCATTTGCTTAATTGTTCCATGGTTGCATTGCACGCTGGAAATCACATCAATTTTCCAACCAAGCAGCTGTAGTTCCTTATTCATTTGTGAAAATAATGCCTGTGTGAGCTTCGTGTTCGCCCAAGAAAGCATCATGAGGTTTTTTGATGTAAGTTTCCTCATCTTGATCTGGCTCGTTCAGAGTTTGTTATACTCCGACCAAGCGGGCTAGAAAGCTGACGGCATATATCATTTCGTCATTTTTAAAATTTCCGCGGAAAAGCGCGCTCACGCATTTGCTTGTGTGTATTAAAATTCTTTGCAGTATCACAGGGGCCTGCGCTCCAGTTTGCCTCACACGTCTCATTGAGGATCGATAATAATATCGTGCAAGTGATTGTCCACCCCGACTTGGAGCATATGGGGATATGTGTCGGTTTCCGCGACCGGCGTTGAAGAGGGGAATTCGGGCAGACCTTCTCAACTGTAACAAGGTCTACAAATTCTAAACGGCATTCAGCTGGCGCTCTATAACAAAAGATTATACGAAAACTTATGTAAGAAGCAAGCGATGTCCTCAGAAGAGGCAATGGTTTTCAGAATGCAATTTCTTCGCGATTTAAGCATTCGGTCTGCTTGAGAATGGGCAAAAAGTGACGTTTTATCCGGTATTTGCCACTCAAACCAAATCACGAAGCAACGTGGTCGTTGATTTGTTCGCTAAACAGAGCAGTTTGATTCCGAACGTTTCATTATTATTCAAAATGACATCGGTGCTGTTTTTGGAAAACGTCGCAGCGCGAAGCGCTGGGTTCGCTTTGCCCAGCTCGGTGAACAAACCAACGATCACCTACGTTACCTGAGCTGGCAATATTTCTCTCTATAGCTGGCGATGTTCTGACGTTCGGTTACAACTTAGTATTAGTAAGAGTATACAGGATAAAATAAGAGAGGTTAGGAAGCTGGTCACTGTTGCTTCTACCAC